ACTAAACGTTTCAAAATACATCTCTTACACGTATTGTTGGACCCTCAACACCTTACGCTCGTACGGTGGCTTCCCCATATCCGCTAACCCGTCTAGTTCAACGTATTCATGTGCGCGGACCTCTGTGGGATCCGAGTTTGAGGTACTGGTTGCTCCTAGATTAGTTGTGGATTCCGAAAGCTTCGACTTGGTGTGTGATGAGGTTAGCAGTCCAAATTGGCTGCGCAAGAATCCTGCATACTTGGTCCAGAATACATGGATCGCAGGCGTGCAGCTGACCATGAGGACTACCGCGCTTTCTATCACACTAGTTGTGGGATTGTCAGTGAGAGGCTCGCGGTTGGATCTAGGGCTGGGGGCGGTGATGATGTTGACAAACTTACGTGACAAGCAAAGCATTAGCAAAGTTGGTAGAAGATTGTGTGGACTGCGCTTCCTGAAAATACAACCCTAATGCACTAGCTGCGATGGCGCTGTTGAAAGATCGTGGTCAGGAAATTCGCTCAAGTCAATAGGGAAGAAATAGCCGAGCTTACAGAAAACCCGTAGCAAAGGCAAACGCAACTCCAATCTTCCTACGAAGTGGCATCTTAAGATTCACGATAATTGGAATCGGGAGGATGAATGCAATGACATCGATGGCGAGTGATATAGACCCACGGGCAATGGTCGCCTCTGTGAGGGCGCTGACGCATGAGAACAAGAATGGTGGTGTTGGCTCGTGAAGATCCGGGCTACAGGAGATGCCAGCATACAACAGCGTGATCACGCCGCCCAGAGTTCCGACGACGATGAGAAATATACAGGTCCAGCGCATCCAACCCTTGATTCCAAAGATTCGGATGAGCATGAAAAGCAGAGGCAACTTCGCGCTGTAAATTGAACTGTTGCCTGAAGCAATTCCAACCGCAACAAGCTGGGAGGGAATATTAGCAAACAGCCTGATGAAAGGGGATAGCCTGTATAGAAGTTATCGTGGCCATACCCTTGTAAGGTGTGTAATTGTTATATCGTTGGGGTTCGAGTTCAAGACTATTTTGAACTTGGTCAGTCCTTCATGTATAGGCTCACATCAAGATAAAAAAGCCTTACCATCAAACAGTAGGGAGAAGGTGACAGAATTCCATATCAGGAAGAGGAGCGCCAGCACGCTTAAGTCTGCCAAGGTAAGCTTGGCTAGCCATGGACACTCCCACCGAAACCAGAAAGGCTATACGTACAGTCATCGACATAGAGCTTTCGAAGGTGGTTGAAATTAGTCCAAAGCCGGAGTGCAATAATACCACCAGAAAGTGCACATAGAGCACTCGCCAATCCCACGAAGACAGAGGGCTTCAAGGCAGTTGGCTGTACAATGGCCGCGATAGGGTTCATGCCTTGCATTGTATTGATTTAGCCACGACGTTGAACATATACACATAAATCACTGGTCGTTGGAAGATTGAAACGGATAGCCTCTTGAATTGGACAAGAAAAGGGATTAATTAGTCCCAGGTCCAAAGCGTAATTCGCAATATCGACATAATGAGGGGTTACCTCAGCTTGGTACTTACGAGCTACCAATAGCAGCGGGGGTTTCGTATTCTTTTCGCTATAATTTCTACCCTGATTCAGAGCTAGGCAAGTCTTAGTAAGGGTGTGTATTTTGATACAGTAGGTGGTTTTATATCATGCATGTAAATAACCACATAAGCAATACTCCGTGCTATGTATGTTATTGTTTAATATATAACACCCATATACTCCGTATACCTGCAGAATACACGTAACTACTTATGTACTCCACATTCTGTAATTTATCAGTTCCCTGCATATGTAGTACCAAAATGACGATTCGGCACCTTAAGCGGGACCGAGGATATTTTTACTAGGAACTTTTTATACCCCCGCCCGAGTTGACATAGTTATTGGAAGTATGTGAGTAGGGATGGTAAAAAGAATATACCAATCTGGGCTGCTGTATGTCGCAGTGATGGAATGGGCCCCGGAGGGCTGGCCATATTCCTAATTAGAACGCCTACGTACTAGTGCTAGCTTAGGGGCGAAATACTAGGCACTAAAGGGACCCTGGGATGTGCACAATCTTGCGCAATCACAGTATTGGATTTAATCGAATATATTACATACATTTTTACCTTGTTCTGCCATCTGCTAGTGGCGTTGATATTCTTATCCTTGGCAACGTACCCATTACCCTTTAAGGTCTTCCACGTAGCGCAACGGGTGAAGGTGTCGCTTATATCGGACCAGTAGAATAATTGGGTATTTAGCAAAGATTCTATATATTTTGTCTTGCGATTGCCTGTATTTTACACTAACGGCCGCTGTCTTATGTGGAGCTAGCAAGCGCTTATCTCACTGCTTGAAACTCTATATACTTGGAGGTTCTCCTCAACGGCCTGAAGAATAGCTGACAGTTACAGGTAGTTTGAAATCACAAGTCATCTGTCTACACCGCATTTCGGAATGATTTCTAAGTAGCAGCCTGATCTTATGAGCCCCACCTTCAGCTAAATATATACTTTGGGTATATAACGCCCATCTTAGGGTTGATAATAACATTAGCAGCCACAACTTTGCATCAGATATGGCTCTCCTAGATCAGAACAAACCAGAAGCCTGGTCGTACCTGCAAAGTCACCAATTGACCCACCAACGCGAACATACGACAACTGCAATCAAGCCTACTATGGCTCCTCCTCCTGCTCCAGCTCTCATGAATCAAGTGATCAGAGGCGACTATATTAGCGAGGCTAATCGGCAAGTTACACGTCTTTCTAAAGCCATTGGACAAGATGATGTCACGCGAGAGAAGCTATTGCACGCCTTGAGGTTTTCCGGGGGTGAATGGTGTCAAAATGCCATACCACAGAAGTTGAACACATCGGCTTGGGTCTCCGACGTGAGCAATGACCACTCACCTTTTGAGTACTCATTGGCTCTGTCCCAAGCAACTGGAGCACCTGAGCTTCGATTTTTAATTGAAGCTCAGCCTGAGGAAAGCAGCTTAGCCGCCCTTCAAGAGAGAACCTCGCGCTTAACCAACGACATCGCGACAGAGTATGGCCCAACAAAGGTTTCCCTGGACCGCCTAAACCTCGTTCGAGATCTGTTTCTCCCCTCAGCCCCCGAGGGTAACCTAGCCTCATGGCACAGCTTTGCTACCTCGAATACACTGGAAAAGTGGAAGATTTACCTGAACCCACTAGCCACCGGGCGGCAAAACGCTTTCAATGTCACCCGAGAGGCTCTGGAGCGCTTGGGGCTGGCCAGCTCGTGGAAATTACTGGAGAGCATCATGACTGGCAATGACTACCCCATCTACTTCTCGCTTGGCTTGTCGCCGAACCCAGAAGATGCCGAAGTCAAGGTATACGTTGCACACTGCGGCGCCTCTGCAGCACAAATCGCGCAAAAACATGTCAAAACCGATCCCAATTCCAGCGTCCATGCTATCGAGCTCTTCTACTCAATTATGGCGGGTGGTTCGCTTGGGCCGTACCCCGGAAAACCTGGGCTATCCTGTTTCCATTTCAAGAATAAAGATCCATCCAGGCCGGCAGCCCGTACAGTTCTCTACCCAATGGATAGCTATGCTGCAAATGATGCCGAAGCGCAGCAGCGCATCGAAACGTATATGGATGCCATTTCTGCGCCTCGGCTCTACCGAGAGAGGTATAGAAACGCTATCACTGCCGTGCAGCGTCGGCCGTTGGAGGCTGGTCGTGGCATTCATAGCTGGGTGAGTATGAAGGAGAAGTCTGACGGTACTCGTTCCAATACATTTTATCTCTCAGCCGAACTGTACGGGTGTCTTGGTTAGGACGGCCCACCGAATGGTGGCCGCTGAAACACATTTTCAGGTTGGAGAGTTGGTTCGGGTAGTTTACGAAATCAACGAAATAGCCGGGATGATAGACAATGAAATGCACATATTCGGTTTTTGCAGGATCTCTGAGAATTGTAGGTCACACTTGATGACTGGCCTCGATTTGGCTGAGCCGGATGATTGTGTACGAGGGACATTTGCAAAGCTGACTGGTGTTCCGGGGTGGTGGGAGTGGTTGACAGTTTGAGAGTGGACTTCTTGGGCTTGGGAGTTTTAGGATCAGGGAATGAGTACTCTGACACGATGAACGAGTTTTCTGTGGCTGGAATCTCGATACTGTTCAGGTAGCGGGCGAGTACAAAGTTCTCTCCAACCTCACTTGAACTTGACAAGTACGCTGTCGTGGCAGGAAGGACTGAGGGAAGGACTGAGGGAAGGAGGGAAAGAGTGTTCGGGCCGCCCCGTAGAGTACAGTCAATGGGCTGAGTTTCAGCGTTCAACATCCATTACACCCATGGATGTATCTATCATAACCATGCATGGCTACAGATCTACCTGCTTACCGGCGAAAGGTTCTATGTTTAGGTCATCAACAAATATCAGGATATGGCCTTCTTGAAACTATATGCCAATTTCAAATTCAAATTCTCTCTTATTTATTAGATTCTATACTATTTTTTATCCGAATTAAAACTTATGAACAGTCACTGTACAATTATAAAGGATCTGTCGAATACTAAGTCGAGTACATGGGGGACATAGGTATTTTACTCGGAAAATGATATGACACTTGGTACCAAGCATACCATACAAAAGTGCATGTTATAGTTAGTTATCGATGTCCGCACAGGTTTTTGAAATAGCGGGTTTGGTCATTTTAGTTAGAGTTCTCAACATCGGTCATCTATACCATACATTGTTCGTACACCAGCTTTTCGTCAGTTTATCAACATGATGCCTCACTTTAAATCCAATTTTTTTTTTGTTTCAATTTTTTGCCTAGTTAGATGCATCACCTCTTCTTTCTGTTGCCAACACTTATGTCTGCATTTCAATTCGTATTATTGAAACTGATCGACGAGGCTGATGAAGCATGTGTGCAATCAGCATCAAACAGGGAAGTCAATACTGAGAGTCTACACAGCTTGAGCTCCAGCTCTTTCGACATTACTTAAGCCTTCTTCCACTCGCCGTCCAAGATATCTTTCACCTTCAACGGCTTAATCTCAGGGAAGACCTCATTCAACGTCTTTGTCCCAGGAGGAGGAATGTTAAAGACACCAGTCTCGAAGAGAAGACCGAACATAGCTGCCCACTGCTGAACTACCTCCTTCGGCATGAACTGATACTCGGCAACCTGACAGGGCAATTCAGTTGCCTGGCCGGCCTTCAGTTTCTCGACGCTATCGTGTGTAACGCTGAACTTTGTACCTAGACAGCAATGGCAACTGTCAGCTTTTTTATCTTTATCGGTGCTATACCGATGCATACCTTTAGCGGCTTCTGCCAGGTGCAGGAATTCATTTAGTGTGACCTTGTCCCCGACAACGATAGACTCAGGCTCCCACTTGTTCAGATCCAGAAGAGCGGCAGCATATTTAGCCACATCACTCGTGTGCGTGAATGCCACGGGCGTGTTTCCAGATCCTGGAATCGATGCTGCGTTGTTTCTGGCATCGATGACCGTCGTTGCCGGCACCATGTAGGACTTGACTGTGTTCATGCACCAGTAGTCAAGGAAGCATCCGTTCTGCACGACTGTGTATTCAAGACTTGTCTCCTTCAATGCAGCCTCAGTCACAAGCTTGTGGGCGAATGCAGGCATTAGTGCCGCTTGCCTATACCCGCCGTCAGTATTGCCATTTGTAGGCCAGAGTCCATCAGGGAGATGAACTTACTCTTCGGTGTAGGGCACTCCCCAACCACTGGAAATCATTCTCTTGGTCGTCTTTGAAGCATCAGCAGCGCGAATAAGCTCGAGCTCGGGTGGCGTTCCGCTGGGAACTATCATGGTGACTGCAGAGACGAGGGTGTGAACATGGTTGTCCTCCAGGGCCTTGGTGGTCTCCTCAACATTAGAGTAATCTACTGGAATAATAGGCACTCCAATTTCCTTTTGTAGGTCAGGGTTTGCCTATACGTGGTCAGTGACAGGTCTAGTTTTATTGGACAGCCCCTCACCTTTCGAGCCAGGATGTAAACTTCATGCTTGCCCCAGCTGGTGAAGGCCTCCACCAAAGCGCGGCCGACACCACCAGTACCACCAGCGACAGCGACAATAACCATTTCTGTCTTATGTGGAAGACGATGGAAGGGGAAACGCGGTTACAGCGGAGCTTGCGAATGCAAAAGAAGCTAGGTTTGAGTGCTTTATGAGTTGAGAAGAACACTATGAAGGGGAGCGTTGATTTATAGCTTCGAAAGTTCCCGTCTTGCCGCTACTTTCCTACCTAGGGTTTCGCTCTTGACACGTTCATCAACACCGTGTCATTGGTGCATTGTATGTCCAATGTCTCAGGTTCGCTTGCCATAACTACGTTACCTTTGGAGGGTTTGTCATCAAGGCATCTACCGGAACACGTATGCCATTTCCTCGTGGCAGCCGGAACGATCAAAATCAAAGGTTCTTGTTGCTGAAGTGGTACACGATGGAGCTGTCTCGGAGGGACCATAAAAATTGATCAGTCAGCGGAAGTGCAGACCCCCCGAGGTCGGGAATAAGCAGGAACATCCGGCGTCCGGCGTCCGGCGGGCCGAACCAAACTTTTGCGACCAACTTAGCCAGAGTCACCAAGAACCACCAAGGAACGGCATTATCAAATAAAGGTGAACGGGTGCATATACACCAAAAAAATAGATTTCGTTACCATTGACGATCATTCTATTTAATGCGCAGATACAAAAGAGAAGGAAAAGGGTCAGAAACTTCGATATTTCATTGGCTCTCAAAAATCAGAGGTGTTGGATTACCCTATTTTGGGTCCAATCTGACTACATGATACAAGCATCGGAGCGGATCAAATAAGGATCCGGTCTAATGAAGTAACTGTGTGCTCCCGAGAGGATTGCAGGGTTTGCATAATCTTTGTGCCTGAGGACTTAACGTATTTCACAAGCGAGCCGCCCACACAAGCGAGCCGCCCACCCCAACCAACCTACTAATTTCAATCATATATATGTCAACCATAACTCCATTAAATTGAATATACTAAAATAAATCTATCTAGCTGGGCATCTATTAAATCTATGCTCAGTTGATCTGCACCCACTACACCTTGGTGTAGCCCGCGTACGTGGTTCTAAAGCCGGTTCTTCATGTATGCCGGCACCGGCATGGGGTGCTTCATCTGCTTCCACTAGCTCAGGAATCAATTGAGAAGCTTCTTGTACTAAGAGGCCTTCTTCTGTAGGTATCTGCCTCCGGGATCTAGTACGCTTTTGCTTCTGCTTCTCGTTGGCGGCGCGTAATTCCTTGTTTTCTTTAGCGAGTAAGATAGCACCTTGCATTGTAAGACGGAAGCCTTTCACAAGCTGGTTTAATGCACGATCTGACGGGCTAGGCGGGCTTCGAGATCTTGTACGAAGTAAAGCTTTAATTGATGAAGCTTGTCGACGTAGGTCTTTCTCTGTAAAAGGGGTTTTTGGGGTAAAATTCCGGCTTGATTCACTACCCCGGCTGGTAGGGGGGGTCGGGGTTCGGAGCCGGATATTGAGCTTTGAAATCACTCGGTCGGGTCCAAATGGTACTAAACCGGCTGCTGCGAAGCTATTTTTAATCGTCTCCGATTTAAAAGCTTCAATTCGTGCGTGGGGGTATGCTTCGAGGAAGTCAAGTTTATCAATATAGTTGATCCTATTCCGCATCTTGATTTCAACCATCCGACCGTACGTACGTTTTAACACCGCAAAACAACCAATATCAAGAGGTTGTAAAAGATGAGATGAATGAGCTGGCATACAGATTGGTATCACCTTATTTTGCTCACAAAGTTCATCAAATTTAGGTGTTAAATGACTTCCGTGGCCGTCAAGTATTAAGAGCCGGTATACCCCCTTCGTACGTATAGTACTAGGAATAAAGAGCTTTTCAAGCCAACGAAGGCTAATTTCATCGGAAGTCCAGCCATTAGGACTAACTTCAAGACGCCAATCCTCCGGGAGGCCGTCGAACCATGATTCAATAAAGACTTTGCCTTTAAAGATTATACACGGAGGAAGCACCCATCCAGAAGCATTTATACATTCAATTGTAGTCACCCATTCACGATTTCCAGGTTGTAAAACCGGCCTCCGACCGTAGTATTCACTCCTCGTAATAACCTTTGTAGTTGCAGTTAATCCCATTGCGAAGCCGGTCTCGTCAAAGTTATAGATATCGTCGGAATCGATTCCATATTGAAGGATTGTCTTTTGAACCAGATTAAACCACTCCATAATGATTTTAGGATCTTCACATTTCGCACGCTCGTAGTTATACCGTTTCGAGAATTGGGAGGAGAGGAGAGGACGCCTTTTAACAAAGTTCGTAACCCAATTTTGGCCGACCGAAAGAACCGGGGTAGTTCCACGCTTTTGAAGAAGAAGATCGGCCATTTCTCGTACCATAGAGGGCCGGGGGGCTGCTCCACGTAGATCCATAGAGAGAATCCATTTTTCAAGAGAATCCTCTTCAATTTGGGTCAATTTAAATGAATTAGCGCGTGTAGTACTTCGTTGAGTACAGCCGGATAGGCGGTCGCGTAAGGTTGTACGTGGTATATCAAAGCGGCGTGCTATTTCACGAATTGAAGAGATTTCTCGATTCTTAAAAGCCTGGATAGCTAGTAAGATCCTACCCTCTTGCTCTATTGAATCTTTAGAGCTTCGGGATCGAATTGGTGGCATGGTAGGTGGTTGAATTGACTAAGTGCTAATCTATGGACGCGTTTTGGTTGGGGTGGGCGGCTCGCTTGTGTGGGCGGCTCGCTTGTGAAATACGTTAGTTAACTATTACTGCCCGAGCTTAGTAAGCCCACATACAAAGAAAGGGGTTCTCTTGGGCCAAGCGTGTGCTCGGCGCTGATGTATTAGATTCTGTATTCCAAGGTTTAGCTAACTAACTACTCACTAGTCCTATCCAATAAAAGCCATCGCAAGATCCTTACAGAATCTCAACAGTGTGAAACAGTCACATGACTTTAGTCGGGGTTCCAATCCGTCAGGCGAGATAATCTGCTTCTCGTTTAATCGGCCAGACCCGAAGTCATCATGTCGCTTCGAAGACCTCATCGGAAATCGCGTAATGGCTGCACCGAATGCAAGAGACGCAGAGTGAAGGTATTCAACCGTAGCCCCGTTTTCTCGCGTTGCTACAAACTCACCAATCTCTCCCTGCAGTGTAATGAGCAGCAACCTTGTCACAACTGCATCAAGTATCAGAGCAATTGCATCTTTGTGACGGACCTGGGACAGCAAAGACAGAGCCAAGTGAGCCCAAAGTCATCAATGTCCGGAGCAGGTCAAAGGCCGTTCACTTTAGTGATTGGCGCAGTGGAATCTCTTCCAGGACCCCCTCTATACGATTTGGCTAGAACTGCAGATTTTGAATCCCGGGACCTTGAGCTGATGCATCATTTCAGCACATCAGTCTCCAAGACGCTTTCTTATCGCAACGACATCCAGGATGTTTGGGCTATCTCACTTCCTAAGGAAGCTTATTCATGTGACTACCTTATGCATGGCCTGCTCGCAATCTCCGCTTTACATCTGAGTTTCTCGAGCCGCATTTTATTGACCTGCGAGAAACGGCGTGAATACGCAGACTTATCTAGATTTCATCTGCACAGATCTCTTGTTCGCTTTAGGGAGAGGCTCGCCAACATATCAACAGAGAATTGTGTGCCATTGTTTGGGCTTTCCTCTTTAATGGTAGTCCATGTCTGCGCGCAATCTACTTTGGAAACCGACTCACAACCAGGCCGGGAGAACTTGACATCCCACATTGAGATGCTGATGAAAATTTTCAATATGTGCCGAGGGGTAGAGCCTATTCTCGCACCATACCATAGCGAGATTCATCAGAGCTCCTTAAGCGCCTTACTTCACGACGATTACCGCCTCGTGGGTGATCTATCAAGGTATCATTGTCACAACACGTGCACAATCAAATCTGATCTGAACCCAAGACTAACGTAGACCAAAGTTACCACAATATCGATCGAGCATTGGCAGTAGAACCGCTGTGGGGTGATTTGGTTAATCTCGTACGAAATCGAGAGAGAGAACCCCAGGAACAGAACAAGTACATGGATGCTTTGACAAAGCTGTGGGCGGCATTTCGCTTTATGCATACCGCAAGGCAACCATTGGAACCCGGGGCAGCTTTTGTGTGGCCTATTATGTTGCAGCGGGATTCAATTCGCCTCTTTATGGAACTGACACCTCTTTCCTTGGTGCTGCTAGCACATTACTGTGTAATTCTGCATCATCTCAATGACTATTGGTTTTTGCATGATTGGTACAAAGCACTTCTGGCCGAAATTACAGAGTGTTTACCTTCAGATCTCAAGACATGGGTTATTTGGCCAAGGAAGGTATGTGGCTTGCATGATGTGAGTGAAATTGCAGGGATAATGGGCAATTGAAATCTTGAGACTAATAGGTCACATCCGAAAACTGTCTATATAAGATAGATTTGAATGTAGATACTAAAGCTTCTTATCGTCTAAATGCAGAGCCAAACCGGAATAATGGCACAAAGTTGAGACAGATACCTGAAACTTTCTATCTCCCCGATCGCTCCTCTTCTCAGAATTCTAAACCCCATAGATCATACTCAAAATCTTCACTACGTCCGCGACAAAGATCTCAAAGCTTCCATCGAGCCACGACCACCCTTATAGGCTGAGGACAATATTGCAGACGGGTGCAGAACATTCATCGCCACCATTGCAAAGAACATCAATGTCGCGTCAAAAACGTACATGAAAGCTTCATGGCTAATAAGATAGCCATCGTTTCCTTGTGCGTACTCGATGAGACGAAAAACCGATCGGATCAAAATCAAAATGCTGGCAATGTACAGCCCCCAAAGAACGGACTGCCAGCCGCGGATGATGCACAGGCTGTGGTCTTGTCTCGCTTCAATTGCCTGCTGGGTCTGCCTTGAGCGAAGGCGGACATGGAAAACAACCGACGTGACCACAAAAATGGTGAAGAATACCAGTTGCACGCAGAGACCGCCTATCGTGATATGTTCTCCGGTTTTCATTGCGTCTATCGTACCGCTCGCCATGATTCCTCCTCCTGGAAGAAACCCTTGTTGGCATGTTGTATCTGGGAACAATATACACAACGATAGTGTGGGACGTACCTGCTGCCTGCATAACAAATGCTATCACATCACCCGTCACGAAAATGCCTGTCATCCATTTTAATGGTATCATGCTGTAGCTTTCAGCACGAAGATGCAGGACCAGCCTCCCAAGAACCATATAAATCGATGCAGCATATAGCGGGGGTGCCAGTAAAACGAGGATCGTTTGGATTGAATAAATCGGCACGCTCTCGGTGTTTGCATGTGACAATGCTCGTGCTATATATCCGATTATCTGGACTATTAGGTCATTCTAGTTAGCATAGTACGCTCGACGCCGGTCACCTCATAAGCCAAGGCCTTGTCTTTTAAGATACTTACATATCCCTCCTAGGACAAATGCAATGAAGTACCAGGAGCGGCTTTTGATAAGTTGCCAAAGATGGAAGACAGTCGTTATGATGAATAAGGCGATGAAGATTGCAGCGGCGACGACAGAAGGTGTGTATCGATAGAGCTTAAAATCAATGTGTTGGCTCGAGTCGCTCATGTTGGAATTGGGATTGGGTCACGGGGTCAAGACGATATCCTAGTGGGAGTAAACACGGTGTTGTACTTGAAGAAGTAGGAGTCTGGACTGAAGCTGGGAGTGTCTGGGGCTGACCTTACTTAAATAACCAAATTCCTCCAAGGCAAGAAATATTGCTTCCTCTGGGTTATTATTAAACTAGACTCAGTGACCTTTTGCTCGAGTAGGCTATACATAGCGCGAGTGGACGGAATCCGTTGTATAGTACGATTCATACTTGGTCTATTTGGGTTTAGTGTACGACGGTACGAGAGCCAATCAAAGTGTGATCGGGCCATAGATTGCCGGACCTAATCCAGCTATCCCGTCCGCTATCCCATCGCTATCCCAAATCTTCACCGTCAGGATTCAGCCTAGTGTATATCACCATACCCACAGAGTAGCTGCTTGCGATCGAATTCCAGGGTGCTCTATCGTCAATATTCTGATATTTAGGCTTAAACAACCTCTGGTCCATTCTGTTCAGCTCCATTCGTGATTCTGATGACAACACAACAATCCCCCTTCCAATGTCACTTCCCCGGGTGTGGCCTAAGCTATCGACGGAAGGAACATCTGACCCGACATGCTAAAAACCACTTTCAAACAGATCGTTTCGAATGCTCCTTCTGTGATCGGGTTTTTGGCAGGAATGACACGCTACGGCAGCATGTCCGCACTCATCATAAAACCAAAAAGCTACAATACCCCCGGGCGATTCAAGCTTGTACCTATTGTCGCTCACGACGGTCAAAATGCGACGGACAGTCTCCCTGCGTCGCGTGCTTCCAGCGAGAAATTCAATGTTTATATACCCGAAACTCACAAGGTCGGGGATTGGAACAAAATCGGTCTCAAAATCCCCACTCAAGCCCCATACCTTCGATAGAATCGGACGATGAATTTTATTCTCCTCCGACAGAATCCGCGGGCCCTATTCAACGGTCAGAAACCATTGAAAATAGCCCATGTAGAGTTGCGCCATATGTCCAGGCTTATTTCGACAAGTTTCACCCAAAATGGCCATTCTTGCACCCAGCGACGTTCGATCCCGACAATGAGCTGCCTTTTCTTGCTCAATCAGTGGTGATGATGGGCTCGTGGGCAATGATGGAAAGCAATGCACAACAGACCGCAAAAGACCTACATAAAAGACTGACCTCGTCGATATACGAGCAAAGAGTTAGTTTAGTCCTTCCTTCTACCTCTCCACATTTCTGTTCTTATTACTAAAGAGCCTGTTAGGGAAAATGGGACATATCAAATCACCATGACGAATCACACTCGCAGCCTCATGGAATATCTCCATCTGGCCCCACACCCTGGCCAATGGCAACATACCAAGGAATCTTATTACACCTCATCTTCTCCCTACTCCTCAACCACAATCAGTTAGATCTGGAATTGACTCAAGTTCTCCCCGAGATCCCCTCTCAGCTTCTCAATTCCCTCGTGCGAACCTGTTTGAAGCGGCGCATGTTCTTCTATCCCTCCATACTAGCCCAATTCAAACCAGGAGTTGACCCCGATGTTTTTATTTGGCTTGGTATTGAGGAAGTTAAGCGTTTTGACTTGTCATTGTACAGAGTATGCAGGCATGCCAGGATATGCGACACCATACTCTTAGAAGACGCGCCGGATTTCAGCCCTCGGAATGGACCACGATCACCTGGTGGAAGCCTTCTTGCTCTGACTGACCTGCAATTTGCGGTGCCGGACAGTGATGAGCTCTGGCATGCTACTTCGGATTTGGCCGCGAAGATCACAGGAAACGAAGCTGCGTATACCAATAAGAATATTGAAGACAATTGGATGTCTCAAACTGCACGAGTTTTACAGCCTGGTGATCAACAATTTCAGTGGATATAATGATATTTTAATGGAAAGAACGTTGCCGTGTATTTATATACATCTTTCAATTGTAAAACTGAATGTAAAGGTCTTGAGTGATAGTGGGTATATGTCATAGTGTTGTAGCTGCATATTTGTCGCCTTGGAGAAATGTTTCCAACTCTGGGATAACGATAGCCTTAGTGGGATGCCGTGTATTGTTGAGGTTCAGGTACGATATCCCATCGCTATCCCATCGCTATCCCATCGTGCATGCGGGTTCAGCATTCGGTAGCCCATCGGTATCCCATGGAATCCTGGCGGGACAGGCGATATCCCATCGTGATCCCAGATTGTAAATCCTAGGTCTACTTTCCTCCCATCTAGATTATTTACCCATGGTCTTTTTAGTTTTAGTCATGGCTTAGATCGTTTTTAGTTCAATAGAATTTCTTATAAAATGGCACCGTATCCAATAATTCAAAGAACCTCCATATCTCTCGCAATCTTTCTCTGGAGCGTAGCATCGTTTAATTTGCATAATTCTGCACGACAAATTGCAATGACTGAACATCTCAAAGGAGATGATGGTGAGTCGGGGGTCCAGCCCGTTCTGGGGGAGGCCCACACCCCCAGCTCTATTATGTCCCAGCTCAGTACGAAGTACGCCGGGTCTTCTGACCTGGAGAAGGAGGAAGTGCGAGCCATCACCGGAGTCAAGGTTTGTAAATTTTACCCGAGTTGGCCTTCTCAGAATTAATATTGGAAGCACCAGTGGATCTTGGTTGTGACTGCTATCTTGTCCAGTCATATGCTCTTCGCTCTCGACAATACCATTGTGGCTAATATTCAACCGGTCAGTAGTTTGCCTTATGATTACGGGCAAGCAACGCTAAATTTCCCTGGATGATCAGGCCATTGTAGCGCAATTCAATGAAGCTGACCAGATTTCGTGGCTCTCTGTCGGGTAGGACTCATATCATATTCGGGTTAATATGTATAATATTTCTCACGTGTCGGTTCTTGCAGATTTACTCTTTGCTCATCTGCAACGGTGCTTCCTTGGTCGAAAATCTACGCTACTTACAATGCTAAATGGCTTTACATCGGGGTAGGTCAATAAGGCCCGGTTATCCCATGCGGTCAGAACATCTCTGATCATTATCTAGTGCGTGGTCCTGTTCATGGCAGGTTCTGCTCTGTGTGGGGGCGCCCCAAATATGAATGCGATGATTGTCGGTAGAGCAATGGCTGGTGCTGGAGTAAGTCAATGTTTCCTTACTTTGATTCTGCAACCCTGAATATTAACAAAATTCCCAGGGGAGTGGCATGTACTTCGGTGTCTTGACGCAATTGTCTGTTAATACGACGGTGTCTGAACGTCCCTTCTATATTGGATTGACGTAAGTAAATAACGCTTTAGCTCTATATACATGCTAATTATCTTCCTATTTGGATAGTGCTGTCTCGTGGGGTATCGGAACAGTCACTGGTCCAGCCATTGGAGGCGCATTCGCTGAAAGTTCCGCCACTTGGCGTTGGGTACCTTCTCAGAAATCTTAAGACGTGAAATCATATTGTACTAACCATTTCCAGGCCTTCTACATCAACCTTGTGATTGGTGCAGCCTTCGCTCCGGTGTATTTCCTTCTCTTGCCTTCATTCGAACCTCTCCCAAATGCCACCTCCAAGGAAAAGGCAATGAATATCGACTGGGTCGGTAGCGTCCTGTTTATTGGTGCTTTAACAACATTAATTATGGGCATTGACTTTGGAGGTGTGGAATGGCAATGGGGCAGTGGCCAGTCAATTGCGCTCTTTGTGGTGTCCGGGGTGCTCTTCATCGTGTTTGGGGTACAGCAGACCTTCTTCATCTTTTGCAATGAGCAAACCCGACTGTTTCCAATTCACTTTCTCAAGAGACGCTCCCTATTGCTTTTATTTATTCTCAACAGTGAGTCAGTCCCTCTACGGATTTCCTTTGTTGTGCTCCACTAATCCATACCCTTTATCCAGCGAGTGCCAGCAGTGGACTGTTTATTGCGGTTTATTATATCCCATTATTTTTCCAGTTCACACAGGTCAGGCTAGCTACTATTATATTTATAGAGACTGTACGAGAGCTAACAGTACTGCAGGGAGATACGGCCGTCCACACGTCCTTGCGTCTTCTGCCTTTCGTGTTGGTTCTTATCTTCACGATTATTGCCAACGGCCACATGATGTCCAGGTTCGGTTACTATATTCCCTGGTACTTCTTCGGTGCTGCTTTTGAGCTTATTGCCGCTGTGTTGATGTGTATGTTTTCTGGAAATCCATCCATTTTCCCATTGAGACGTATAGACTTGATACTAATTGGGACTCAAATTTAGATCGCGTCAAGGCCGATACCTCTGCTAGTGCAATCTACGGATACACAGCTTTGATGGCGTTGGGCGTGGGTGCCTACAATCAGGCAGGTTATAGTGTGGTGCAGGCAAAGGTACCGAAAGCTGAGATCCCATGGGCTTTAGGCTATATGATGGTTTGTAAGTGAACACTAATTCCTATGTCCCTTTGTTGTATTAGGGCTGATGTTCGATAAACCAGCCCAATTGGGAGGCATCGTCTTAGCCTTGGGTATGGCGGGTGCTATCTTCGTCAATAAGACAACAAAGGAACTTCTACAGTTGCTCCCAAATGCCAATCCTGCCGATGTCAAGAATTCCATCGCGGGAACGTCTAGTGGATTCTTCAAGACCCTGACGAAGTCGCAGCAGACCGCAGCTCTTGATATTATTGTTTCAGCTATCGATGATGTGTAGGTCTCTCTTCTTTTTTGAACAACTTATTCTTTGACAGTGCTTAGGGACTCCCTCAATTGCTAACCTTTTCTTCCTAGATATGTTCTTTTAATCGTTGCTGGTGCACTCGGTGTCCTCCTCTCTCTGTTCCTGAAGGTGGGTTTTCTCTACCATAATCTATTACCACGCCACTGACATTTTTTCTATCTAGCGTGAAAAACTGTTCATGGAAGCGGCAGTCAGTGGTGCCTAGGATTCGTATTTCGAGGCTCGATTGAGATATTTATTTGGAGCCATACCTCAAGAAGCGTCTGTTCCTGGTGGAATTTTCCCACCACGGAGTGACTATAATACCATGATACTTTATTCTGTTGGTATTTGAACGATGGTGTTCGCGGCTTACCATGAGAACTATTTTCATCTTACGTATGCCTCTCTATGTAGCTGATTTCCTCCACTGGGTAGGGCTTTGTTATTTGAGTCACTGCCACTTTTAGGAGGCGCTCAGAGTCAGCCGGGCTCCCAACCTCCGGGGTTAGCTTACTCCGCATTGGAAATAGTTCAAGGAAATTTACTCTCAGAAGGGTTTGGGCGTAATGCCTCAATTTGAATTCCGACAACATCTGGCATGTTATTGTTAGCGAGCATGGGGGCTTTGATACCCCACTTATAACCGTCGTCAGGACGAAACCATGCGCCTATGACTGTTTGCCAGAGAGCTTGAACTGTTTCTTCTAGGCTGTGTGGCTTTATCAACTGCAATGTATTGATAAAGCCCGAGCCCAGTCTCACATGAGGCTGCATTGATCACACAGTGTGATGATTGTTCCTCTTCTTGGCCTTGATCATTTCGGCGTCGTCAATCGCATCCCAGACAGGTTCTGCTAAATCATGCAACAACATCTCCGCTGTGAACACGAAATCACCCTCGCCTTCTCCTGGCTCATCCAATAGCAGAGTGTGAAATGGTATAGTCAAGGGCTCTCCTTCAATCGTAGGGCTGGAGCCATCTCTCCCTCTCGTAATGAGAATTCTCTGAGTCATTCGAGGTGGCGGTGGATTTTTGAGGCGTCTGTCAATAACCTGGCGACCACTTGCTGTGATATAGATATTGCGTAGTGATGGTTCGAATTCTGGAGTCCAGGATTTGATTTCAATGGAGTGAGATCCTCTTTTGATGTCGACAGTGATCCCCATTCTCACTTCGCCCTTTGATCCATTGATCCACCAAGCAATGTCCCTCTCTAATTTTAGTGTTGTCTCAGAAAAGCCAACTTCCAATGCCACCGTTGGGAATTCTCTCCCTTGGCGGGCTGGCTTCCAGGATCGGTCTGCCTGTTTGTTTCGCTCAGGGGTATCCACAAGAGTCGCTCCGCATTTCGCAATCCGTCTGTTGACCTTCATCTCTTGCGCGAGCGTTACAATAATTGCCTCAAAACTGGACACCGCTTCTTCGTGTGGTTGACCAGGCATTGTTATGATGAGAATTTGAAGTGATGGCGAATAGTCACAGCGACCTGGCAATTGTTCCTCGTTCTCGGCTAGTATCTCTGCCGGAAAGTGTTTCAAGACGATAAAAGAATCTTCGACCGAATACGGAGGAAGGATTGTCTTCATAGCGCACTGTTGGTTGTAACAGTAAACGGGCGTACCGGAGGGAAGGTGCGCGAGAAACGTCCCAGCACCTTCTTCTGACACAACGCTCTCGCTTTGATACACACGCGACATGATTTCCTGAACGGAGCAGCAGCGAGGATATTCGTATCGCGATATTTTGGTATCCTTAGTTTTTACCGAGACGAGAAGAGGGGAGAAATTACATAGATCGTGATATGGGACCTTGTCACAACCTCGAGGCCATGATGTCATGGGGCATCGTCCAGGTGAATGCTTGGCTTCACTGATCCGAAACTATCGCTTGCAACGATGCTGGCTAGCAACACACAAAGCGGTCTTTACCCGGTATATCTGGTTCGACCGTTTTCCTGGTCTCTAGATTCGGATTTTTGAACTGCCACTATATCTCTCGCTACCTCCATCATGAGTAACTAATCTTATCGGTTCATGCCTTCTTTCCAATTTTCAAGCTACGTGGTATTAATTCATAATCAGTATTTTGGTCTCGGACGAAATTCTCAAACAATTTGACTGTTGTTTGTTGGTGTCGTTGGCCATGGACACATGGTTTAGGGCGCCGAAGACTCCATGACTACTCCATGACCCGCATCCAGCTATGCACTTAGCCAACTTGTTGCAGTGCCACATTCCAAAATCTCGGCATGTTAGGAGATCCTGTCGGGTTGTCGGGTTGCTGGTACTTAGTTTCTCAGCAATACCTCCAGAATGCGGTCAGCAACCAACAGGACTACGAATTCGGCATGGATTGCCTATACAGAAGAGTGGTAGGAGGTTATATGACGACTTATTAAAGGGAATTGGCCTATACTCGAACATAAAAATCATTGCGAGAACGAAAAGTCGGGGGTACTTCCTAATAGAGCGTCCTTCAAAGACAGCCTGCCATATCCTAAGATTCCTATCAATCTTTCTCTAGTAGTCCCTATCCTAGGACGTATCGTAAATCTCCGAGTAGACTCATCCAATATTAATATTGCATGTTGTACAACATAGACAACATTGAAGGATGCCACCTAACTATGTAGTATAGACTAGCATGTTTTCGGATATATTAATTATCCGGGTTCCAATCATCCAACTGTTGTATGCTGGGTCCTTTGTGACTCCCCCAACTCTGAAAGATCAGTGGTACAACAAGAGCTGTGCAGCTCCATGTATGATATTTGTTACATCATCTATTATTCTGAATGTTAAATGATTAGTTTGTTGGTCTAGCGACTTGCACACTTCGAATCAAGGATACTAAATGCATGACCCCTATCTCAATGCATCTGATCACCAATGTTTACTGTCCTTTATGTGGCGTTATTCTGCTGCCCGACCCCTACAGTGACGATGACCCGGCGTCTTTGCAGTCCCACGTTCGACCTTGGTATGCAGAAGTACGAGGTCTCTACTTAACCAATGCTACTGCTGGCTATATCACCACAACTGGACTGGGGATAGTACGCTGCCGGAACATTCTCTATGCGCCACTTGATAGCGACCAATCTTACGTCGACGTTGAGGTTGAGTTTCTGGAGGAATGGAGGCTTTTCGGATCATCTGGAAGCCGTTGGTGCTTCGGATTCCACAACTCATGTTGGAAGTTGCTTCTCCTCAGGCTTGCTCATGGACCGGATCGTGCCTTCCAGAGTGAAGAGGCTATTTCAGAATCAATATTTTATCAATTGTATTGCACTCCTTGTGTCCACGCATCCATCTTTCAATTTGGCCACGAATATGAGGGCGCCGCGCAAACACACAAATCGTTCGGGCTGCCAAAGGCAGTGGATCTGGGCTCACACTTCTATGCTGATCCCTGTGCAATTCCCTTCTTAAAGGAATTGGAAACAGCTGCGTCCGAATTCCGCAAAATGCGTGGTAGTTCGCTGGGGAAAGAGAGAGATGGTGCTCACCCAGCGGCTGCAACCACATCAGGCATTGATTGCCGTAGCGAAGAGGGCACCATTGCATTGGGTTCCTTTGGGCCTAATGGCAACTGCGATTTAGTCTCATCCCCTGATGCTATGACAAAACAAATTCACGAAATTCCGAAAAGACCTAAATGCTACATTTTTGATGGACTGTCACTTGAGCTGAATTTCGAAATATTCTCATATTTATCCTTTGTCGAACTCCTCAATGTGCGGCTTGTATGTCGTGATTTAGCTTTACTTGCAGCCGTGGATATGCTCCCACGGTCATACTGGCGAAGTAGGTTTCTCCTGGGCCAGGAAGCTGATTTTCTTTTCCCGGATGCTACCGACACGCAGGACTGGTCTCTGCTTTTCTTCGGGACCAAAGCGTCGCTCACTACAAGGACACCGTCAATGGTCAATCGCAAAAGAATTCGGCACCTGCTGGAACCCATTGCTGCCCTTGTGGGCCTAGAGGCTGTTTTGAGAAATGGTCCATACGGATTTGCCGTCGAGCCGGCAGAAAACCAAGGCAGATACTATCAGCCGATTGATTGCGAAAGCGCTGGAAACCCACCCCGGCCCATAGAGGTAGCCAGCTTCTTTTCCGGCCAGTTAGCGTCTGTTGGCGTGGATAGCCCCTTGGATGAGGGATGTCGTGTACTTTACCATAGAATGCAACCCTTTGTATTCCCGCTTCAGCAGCATCGACAGCGAATAGGTATTTCGACCATCCAATTCGGCACGCAAATATTTATATCTGGAATAAACCTATTTCCATCTGGGGAGCGCAGTACCGACGGCCACCGAGTCGGATATCAAAATCCAGCTTTCGAGAAGTGGATAGAGATACCGAACACATTCCACGTGAAAGCTCTCGGCGTGGCGTTTTGCTCTCAAGGGCTGACAGGAATCAAGTTTATATACACAGAGTCAAATTCATCGGGCTGGGTTGGTGATTCCAACGGTCCAGGAATATCCAATGGCGCCCTTAGCATCCCAGAAGGGTCAAATTTACATTACTTGCTTGCATGTCTAGATCGATACAAGATCATTTCACTCGGCGTCGGTAAAGTGACCAACAACCTTGAAACTCCTAAGTCCCCCCCCTCGGCGTGTTATGGATTCATCCCGGGCAGAGTCTCATTTATGGACGCCATATCCCCCAGGGCACGAGGAGTTGAGAATTAGCATTCTCTTGCCGTCCAGGCCTACCCGGCCTTTTCGGCCCTTGACTAACATTGACTTTGGTGGCCCAAGAGGCCTGCTTCTCACGTCCTTGGCAAGGCTTACGTTCTATATGGCATCTAACCCCCACCTATTTGTCGGCATCGAGATATCATATTCCAATGGGAGGTCCGTACTTTTCGGCCCTAGCGGTGGCTGTGGTCTTTCCTTTTTTATCGATGGATCGAATGGGGAGCGTATCAATCGAATCGGGGTCGTAGCAAGTCGGAGATCCCACCCAGAAGTGATCCTTGGTGGCTTACAGGTAATTCATACGGTTTCCTAGACATATGTATAATATGATTCTAACTTTTTGCTAGGTGTCCACAAACTATGGACGGACTGCTACTTTCGCTCCTCTTCACCATCGGCTCGATCCATCTGTTGACCTCATACCGATTTCACCGCCCAGAAACACCATCACTGGGTTGGTTGCCTTTGAAATGCAATTCATAAACCAGATCCAGACAGCAGCTAAGCAGACCCAGGCAACCCTAACTTGCTTTGAGCGCGTCGGTATTCAGTCCCAGCAGTGTGGCAAACAACCTAGCATACCGGATATTCTGGATTGTGAATGCCATCAAGTACCTGACGACCAGCTGCGATATGACGAAAAGTTCTCTCATTTCATATACAGTAGAAGGTCCGCCGACTATCAGACCTATGCATCACTGAAGAATATCCGGAAAATCCAGGCATCCACGGGCATCCAAGGTCAATCTAGGTCTCGAAGTCGGATATCCGGTTTGAAGCTCGAGTATCATAATCATCCAAGCCCTGGTATTGTAGGACAATGGATGCATCAACTCGACGATGGATTTGAACTATCCCAAGACGAGGACGTCCAATCCTTGACTATCTGGCTCATTCCGACGGGGTTCTCTTCTCAGTCCCCGGGGATGGCAATAGGCCAAGTTGCAGCCATATACATTGAGACGACACGTTCTCGCAGTGTGATGTTTCGCCCTCCGGACTTCCAGTCCATCTCATCCCAATCGCTGCAACACCACCAGTATCAAGGTGACTCCGACGAGAAACTCACAGCTATCTCTTGGATATTGAATCTATCCTCTGAACGCGTCCGAGCTGTCATTTCTACAAATGGAAGCCGCCGAAAAGCCCTAATATTGGTTCCCGAAGAAGTACCTCCTTTTGACCAGGTACGGAAACTCTGCTTTGAGAAGCAAGATGACGATGACTGTAGAGAGACCATAATCACAGCCGAGGCCTACTTCAAGGACCACGCAATAGTCGGACTAGCCTTCGTTTATATGTCAGGTAGAATAGCAAGCACAGGTGAGCTCGATACCGAGACCCGTCAAATAGTTCATTTTACACTGGATGCTCGGATTGTTGGCTTGTCGGTTGTGGCCACAGAGCACAAGCTTATGGAAATCGAGTTCGAGGTTGAACGGAATGAGCAGCCTCGGTACGAGAAGCTTAGGCTTTCTGCCACTTTGCCCAATGACCTGGCCCATACCGCTGGTCTTAACCGGCGAGAGATGTGGTGTAAGGATGATGCGTCTGTGGAAAGCTGCCAGTGGGTGTTAGAGCCGGACAGAGTATACAAGCCCCCGAGTGGGTCGAGGCTTATCGGTATCTACATGCGCTGTCAGGAGTTCTACCGTGTTGGGGCATTATACGAGTCCGATGTTTCTCAAGAGACATAAAAAGGGCTCTGAAAAGAGCTCTCAGGTCAATCCTTGGATATGTTCTACATCAGGATCGGGATAAACCGCCATCGATAATAACATTCTCGCCCATGGTGCCGACTTTTCTACCAGACCCCATGGCGCTCAGCAGCTCCAGGCATCTAGCTGGAGATGACCGCAATACTCCGACGGCGGTTAACCTGGGCCTTATTACTTCACACATTGCCATCCAGGCACTCAATGAAGACAATGTTCGCCTCGTCTTGAAACTTGATGTTGATCCTGAAACACTGTACACGGGCTGTGTCTGGTGTCTAATCATATCACTACGCAGATGTGTGATAATGCTGCTGTATATATTTTGCATAAGACACGGGTGGATCCTCCGTGCAGGGATTCTTCGGTCATATGCCGATGGACCTTGCTGAGCGTGGGTTTCAGGACAATAGGATGATGCTTTTAAATGGTTAAATATCTCAGATCGAGTAAGTGAAGCGAGGTCAATCCTAGGTAGGCTTTTGTCAGTGGCGCTTAGTTTGCATGTAGACGTTTGAATCTATGTATGGACAATGTAAATATTCGGCGATCATGGTGGGGCATAGTGGAGCTCTACCTTATCAAGTATAGAATAAGTATAGGAGTATAAGAATAGTTTAAGAAGTGATGAAATATGATAGGTTCCAGAGGTCAAGTCCTTTCTTTAATTTGGAGTGCAGTTGGAGTTGTGCATCCAAGAGGGGCAGACAAAGACCTTGCAGTTAGGTATCAATGTTGTATTGGTACCTAGTACTTCTATCACCGCAGGCATCACCATACAACTGCCCGGTACCCTGTACTACCCCGCCATTACTGTCACTTTGGGTCATCCATTCCAAATGTTCTTATCGCAACACATCCCCTTCATCAACTTCCACTTCTACATTTCAGTTCTCTTTTATACCCTTTATCCTCATTACTGTGTTTCTTTCCCCTTCCAACGTTCTCACGCCTTTTACCTAGGTACGCCCTTACTTCCAGTCACGCACCTGACCATCCTGACCATCCGGCTCCCCGCAGACCCACCTTATCACTCTATTTGGGCTTCCTGAGTCTCTGCCTAGGACTCTCTGCCTAAGACTCCCAGTATCTTCCGACCCTCCCTTTTCTTTTCTACTTCACTGCTTTATATCTCCGTCTCTGTTTCTAACTCTGCTTTTTTTGACCTTCTCCCTACGGCTTGGGCTATCCCTAAGCTCCTGTTTCCGCCGCACCCGTGCGCTCTATGAAGTTTACATCAACCAAATGACTGACGATCCAGACTCGCCTCATAGGCGTTTCCTCCGTGCACAGACTGCTTCGAGTCTACAATATCCGACTCTTCCACCCCTGACAGCGTCTGTCGAGGAGTGGTTGTCCCGTTCACGACCAACCAATATGACGTCAGATCAACTTTCTGATCATTCACCCAAGACCCTGAGTGATAGCTGGGCAACTCTGAGTGTGTCTGATATACGCTCAGAGGATGGCAGTCACTCCGAACAAACCGATACAGGCTCGTTGATCGACCAGGCCAGCCCTGACGACGTTGCAAGCCTCGACGAACGCTACAGCGGTAGCGAAGCCGAGGCCGAGGCACAGGATGAAGACAACCCAGAGGACGATGGGATAGACAGAGATGAATTGCAGTGCACTGAATCAGTCTCCCAGGAGTTGCCTGCCCTCTTTGCCGCCAGACGAACCACTATCGATGACAGCACCACAACCACGAAGCCCTCCTTCCCCCACACCAGTGATTCGATCGAATTTGTGGAACCCCAGAAGTGGCCCGAGATCGAACGAGTGGAGCTCAAGCATACTATTCGCATCTTCGAAGGTGCTGCAGCCTCGGAATTAAAGAGTCGGCTGCCCTATAATTCAACCGACACCATCCTCATGGCTACGGTTCAACAGACGATGACAAAGCAGAGCCTCGACCTAGATAAACCTTTCCGCGTGCTCTATGTCGGACAACCAGGATTCCGAAACATTATTCTCGACAAGATCGGTGATGTTCTGGTATCAAGCTCATGTACTGGTTCAGAGACCAGCTCGGCCGAATCTTCCCGATATCATGTCGTTCCAACCTCATTTGGTGCCGGGGCTGTTCCCAACTTTGCGGAACTTCTGCCGATTCATGTTCAGTTGGTGGTAGACGAATGCCTGGAAGCCACGGCCGATCCCCACGCGGACCGACCCAATACACTTCAACTGAAGTTCAAGAATCGACCTGTCTGCACTTCGGCTTGGAATGGGTCTGACTACCATGTAACATCTGCAACAGATTGGACTCTACCAGATGTGGCAATTCTCTTTGTCTCCGGCCTCGATGATGCAGCAGCCGTCAAGACCCAGCGTCTTGCCCATATGTTCCTAGAACGCCATGGAGTCCCGGCGATGGTGATTTCAGAGGAGCCACTGTGGAAGATGGCCGGAGAGACGATCCCTCTTAACCACAACAGTCTGCACACATGTTTGGAATCCCGCCATCCAGTTTCTGGGGAGACCGCAGTCCTCCGACGGTATCCTATCGATTTGAAGACTTTTGAGAGCATCACGCCTGGTCAGTTGAATCGAAACATGGCTTCTCTTGTTAGCTTGTATCCAAGGAAGACACATAGAGCCACTACCGATACTCCCAAGCCTCTTCAGAGGCACATATTTGCGGATCTCGAGAAGTATCCTGGTAATTGGCTTCCGCCTTCGTATACCACACGGGCCCGAGAGCTAGCCCCCATGCTACGTCTGGTTACTTTGACTCTCATTTCGGCCATTGCCATATCTATTGGGTATGCGGCTGTTAGAGTCTTGGTCGTCTTTCTAGTGCAATGCTTTGCCGGATCGGCTTTGTCCAATGCATCCTTCCCAGTGGCTTCCCATGTCCTTCCCACCTCTGTTCTGACTCTGAATCGAGTGGTACAAACCTCAATCCCCACACGGCCCTCAGCTCCTATGCGGGTATCATATGTGCCCTCTTGGGGAAATTCAATCCCCGAGGGCGTCAACGTGCCAACTATCTCTACCGCTAAATCATCGGGAGCGGCGAACGAGTTTGAGATTCAGATTGTTGGAGACTGCCATGTTATCATCAAACCTCCACATAAGTTTGCGTCGTCCAAGAAGCAGCCACAATTCAATGTTAGCGTTCACAGGGAGAACAAGCCTCTTACATACGAGCTGTCTCGGCTGTTTGATGGAGTCTATTCGCTGAATTTGAACCGCGAGGATGCGTACGGGTTAATCAACCTGACGATCACAACCAAGTCAAAGCAGCCAATCAGCCAGACCATGGCTCTTGACTTCGGAACTCCGTGGCTGAAGATCGCAAACTGGAAGCGGGCAGCACAGGGAATTTCTTCACAATTTGCTAAAGAGATCTATACGGCTCAGACTGGCTTGACTGAGGTATGCGGTCGCCTCTCTACCGACTTACAGGTGATCGTGGGAGATGTGGTAAAGAGAACCCATCTCTTGCGCCGCGATGCCGAAAACCTACGCCGTGAGAGTCTGAATGCACGCGATGCGGTTTTATCACGGTCGAAACAGATTTCAGAAGTCTGGACTCGCAATACTATCCAGCGATTCAGAAGTGTTTCTTCTGTGTTGCAAATGCGGTCTAGTCGCGTGAACAAGGAAACCAAGGGCCTCGTCCATGATGCATGGAGCCGAATTGGGAAGTCAGCGACGAAGATTGACCTTCGCAGTATGATGGATCGAGTGCGCAACGTTAGGAAATGCAATGCGCTGGATCGGGCTCAGTCGCGTGCTCGACATGTTATGGGATTACGGTCCGGCAAATCCGGGGATTGTTCAAGCCGTGGCTCGAAATGATGAATGAACTTGCTTTACGACTTTGTATTTGCTTCTTTTTCTCTCTCTATTAATGATTTGGCTGAGGACTGGTTTTTGTTTATGGCGACCAGGATTGGTGGGTGGCAACTGTACTGGAAATGGGGTTTCACACGAATTATTCAGTCGGCGCAATGGTATCTCTTATTTAAACCGTACTCCAACTTTGGCCTTACCTGACAGTACCCACTGCGGTGAATATTTATTTCTTTTCTTTGATGTGTGTTTCTGTCGCAAGTACGCAGTAGTTCACACTTATATGGAGTACACTATTGGCAGACGAGAGCGGTGGCGGGTTCTGCCAGACATGGGACCCAAACTAAGTATTAATTTTTCCCCCTCATCGCCGCTTTCTCTGATCAACAAACACTATCTCTTACTGAAATTCCACTCTATCTCCCGTGGATCTCTGTCATCTCTCTTTTTATCTTTTTAAACCGATCCTCTTGAATCCCTCGTCATCATGTCTGACATCACCGAGACCAAGCCCGACCCCGCCATCTCTGCCTCCGAGACCAAGCCTGAGGAGACCACCCCCGCCACCGCCGAGGGTGAGCAGTCTACCACTGAGGCCGTTGCCGAGACTGCGACTGAGACCGCTGAGAAGGCTGTTGACACCGCCAAGGATGCCGCCGTGAAGACCTCTGACAGCATGTTCTCCATGTTTGGTGGCGGTCCCAAGAAGGAGAAGAAGGAGGAGGCCGAGGAGCCTACTGATGAGCCCTCCGGTTCTTCCAAGGCCCAGAAGGCCACTGATGAGGTGAGTTTAATGCATATCATGCTGGTGACATGGGTGGTTGTTGTTGGACGCGTCTGCGATGGGGGCGGGGTCCTGTGCCCCTTTCTCCCGATAGTGGGGTCGTCGCAAATAAGCCAAACCATGCATACTATGCCAGTGCCCGTGATTTATTTTAGCCCCGCGTATATACTGACCATGATATTTCAATGCAGGATGAAGTCGAGGAGTCCGCCGATGTCCACTTCGAGCCCGTCATTCACCTGACCGAGAAGGTTGAGACCAAGACCAACGAGGAGCTTGAGGAACAGTCCTTCAAGATGCGCGCCAAGCTCTTCAAGTTCGACCGCGAGTCTAAGGAGTGGAAGGAGCGTGGTACCGGTGATGTCCGCCTGTTGAAGCACAAGGAGAACCAGAAGACCCGCCTCGTCATGCGCCGCGATAAGACCCTCAAGGTCTGCGCCAACCACTACAGTAAGATTACTACCCGGTCATATTTTCCGAAGAAAGTTCAGTGCTAATATGTATTTCCAGTCGTCCCCGACATGAAGCTGAGCGCCAACGTCGGCAGTGACCGCAGCTGGGTCTGGAACGCCGCCGCCGATGTCTCCGAGGGTGAGCCCGAGGCTCAGACCCTGGCTATCCGTTTCGCCAACAGCGAGAGTGAGTGGTTTTTATCCCAACTTGATGTCGATCTTTTTTACTAACCATGGTTTTAGACGCCAACGCCTTCAAGGATGCTTTCGAGACCGCCCAGGTTGAGAACGAGAAGCTTTTCAACGCTGAGGAGTAAACAACCCTTCTTCTCTCGCCTTGCTGACTCTTCGAGGATGAGGATACCCCATTATCGTGCACTTGGCATTCCAAGGCATTTGGGTGCATCGTCCCGGAGCTTGCTCTTGAAAAATCACCACAATTTTCGCCCCTTTCACACCGTTCCACCCAATCATCACCCCCAAATCCATCCCATTCCCACCCCATCCCCTACGACGCGACGAGCGAGGCAGCAGTTATGAAGATGCTCCTCACATAGCTATTGCGAGCCATGCAGTCTACGAAATGGAGGGCAGTTCCCTAACGTCGGTGGTTCGGAAGTAGATAGACATTTCCCCATCCAATATACCTGCACATCACCCCATACCCTGAAGATATCTGAAGAAAAAAAACAAAGAATAAAAGTAATGATGAGTATGCCGTTTAAAAAAAAGTGTGTATGCCTAAAATAATAACAAGATTTTACATTTTTCAACTCAAAAAGAGAACAAAAATCCTGTAGCTCATATTTTCCTTTTGACTTCGCCAGGACATATTGCAGATCGTAGGAACAATGCTAAGACTTAAAGTAAAATTGTTTGAAGCTGTATCTCTCATTTGATCTCAATGGTCTCAAGTCTCTGTATAATATATATAACAAAGAAGTAAATCACGTAAAAAGTGAGAGTGTCGAGGGCAAGTTGAACATAGTGGGCAGTCCCGAAGATATAGCCCACTCTCTGACCTTCAGCTTAATTCACCGCTTCATCGAATTGCCTTGAGAATATATCCAAAGACCCAACACTATATACCAGTTCTTGCTGCCTAGTTACATTGAGGTATTTCCTACACATCTGTGTAGTTATGATTTCCCATGCTCACCCCCGATAGACCGCGCAAACTTGTCTCCGAGACGCCCACCTCTCCGCACGTCAACGTCCCCTTTCGGCCTCATACCCTTAGAACCTCACGATTCTCTCAAGTGACGACCCGAAGTCACCAATAAAATAATCATGCCTGACGTGAGTTTACTGTTCCCTCACCAACTATCGCGAAGTTGCATCTATGCTCTAGCACTGTGGGTTTGTCGCTGTGGCCGACACAGCCCAAACCTGGTCTTTTCTCTCTGTTTCCAGCACAATTAAGCTTACATACACTAACACTCCTCTTCAATAGGTCAAGCGCACTGTCCGTCTCATCACTGAGCAGAACATTATGTATGCGCCCCCCCTCATCTGTCTACCTCTACATCCAGCTTCCCTCCCTTCGCAAATCCCGGTCTGAGAAGAGCGCCTGGAGCTACTGTCTCCTCCCACAATCTCCTGTCAGCGCTATTCGCCACTTCGGCCCTATGGCTTGCGGGATATGAGGTCGACAATGCGCCCAAGGATGAAGGGAGGCGCGCTTCGCACACCACTCTTCTCTTCGGACCCCACACCCATCCCTACACATACACGCAAAACATGCTGCATTAGACACATTGGCTGACTTGGGCTTTTTCCCACACTGCAGAGATAAGCCATCGGAGGTTGAAGGTTTCCCGCAACGATCCTGGCATATTGAGGTCTGGCTCGTGAACGAGAAGGGCGCCTTGGTCCCCGCGAACCTCTTCGACAAGGTCACCTACCATCTGCACCCCAGTTTCGGCGAACGCGCTACGCAGGGTATGTTTTGATCCCTCCTAGCTTTTTTTTTTTATTTGGTCTTGGCGACGCCTAGGTTCTCTGTTCCAGAATTCCACGGCCAGCAAGATTTAGTCGCACAGTGCTCTCTGTGTGATGATTTTCGGATTGGAGGCTAACGTGGGATAATTTCGAAATAGTCTTCAAGCAGCCGCCGTTCCGCATTCAGGAGGAAGGATGGGGTGAATTCGATATGTCCATCGAGCTGACTGCCGACAAGTCGTACACCATTCAACATGACCTGAACTTCGCCCAGACCCGTTACGAATCTAAGCATGTGCTCGTGAGTTTGCTTTTGAAATTCCCCGTTCGAGAGAAAGTATGGTGTGCTGATCAATGGCGTTTTTTTTTTATCGCCCGTACAGACTTTCAAGAACCCCAAGCCTGCTTTGATGGCCGCGCTACGCGAGTCCGGTCCGGTCCCCGGTGATGAGAATGGTATCAAGCACAAGCGCCCTGCTGGTGGCGAGGAGAGCGCCAAGAAGAAGAAGCGCACAGATAAGAATGTGAGTTGTTTCTGTGATATGAGTTCTGAGATTGGCGATGCGGGACTAACGCGCTCTCAAGGTCGACATGGACAAGCTTGCCGACGGGCTGCAGAAGCTGAACGAAGATGACCTTCTGCAGGTTGTGCAGATGGTTCATGACAACAAGGCGGCGGACTCATACACAAAGAACGATGTTGAGCGTAAGTTCCTCTCTATCCTCGGGATATCTCAGAGAAAAGGAAATCATGGCTTGCTGGACGTTTACTCTGAACAAAACGCTAATCTTGCCCTTTCATTTCTATAGTCGGAGAATTCCACGTGGACTTGTACACTCTCCCAGACGTGTTGATCAAAATGCTCTGGGATTTCACCGCGGACCGCGGAGCCTTGTAAAGGACAATCGAGCAAGTGGAAGAGGGGGAGAAACCAGGGCGTGGGAGTGTCTATTCTGTTTTCTTCTCATTTTCATTTTCTCGAGTCTTCGCTTCTTTTCTCTACTGCTGTATCCTCGGTCTCTCCACGACCATACGTCTAGTTACTTTCTCATGTTTTTTTCTGTCTTTGACACGGGGAGTTAGCGGACTACCGAAGGAAATTGGATGGCTCTTTTTGCATTTCTTTGTGCTTTCGCTGGTTCTAAAATGCGTATTCTTTTCTCTTGCTCTCCGGGAGGGATGATATAATAGACTTGGTACTTTTCAATCATCTCTTGCTTGAAGCAGACTGGTGGGATTGGGGAATCTCATAGATGGGTTTCCTTTTGACTGATGCTTAGCACTAGATACTATGGATCTTATACCAATATCGAAACTCATTGCACTTGGGTTCGTCTCTCATGGCTCTTTGTCTCGGTCTACGGACAAAATGTATCCCAGCACGGACAGATACCTTGCGTATGGGACCGTAGTATTGTGGGTGTCTATATTCCAGGTTTCTCAGGTAATATCTTCCAATGCACATACAGCTCAAACCTACGACTCTAGTATAGACATAAGTCTTAAAGCTACGCATCTGAAACTTAGAACGTACAGAGTAACTATCTAGGTAGAGGGGTGTATTCCGTGGGATCCGCCAGTGACTATGGAGCCCAAATGCTCAGCCATGACTTTATCAAAGGACTCGCACGAGAACTGGTATTCGATCTTGGTGGGCATTGAGTATATGGTATGACTTTCAGCAACGAGGTAATGCTGATGTCTCTCCATAGGTGTGCACGCACCATGTGTTTGGGGACCTTCCGCCTGCGCTGTCTCGTGGGGGCTACGATGAGATGGCGGTCGAGAGGGTTAGGGAGAGGAGGAAGAGAAGAAGAAGAGAAGAGGAGGAAGGGTGGGGGGAGGCCTTTTATATGTTCACTTCCCAGGTACCTTCCCAAAATGGACGGCCGTTTGCTCTTGCTTTTTGTTCTGCTTGTGGTCACTGGTTGTAGCAGGTGACCATGCGGAACCCTAGTTTACATGTTTCTTGCAAATGCAAATGCAGGGCTCACTATAAGAAGATTGCCAATAAGAAGATATAGCAGTAAAAGTAATAACAGCATGGGATATCTCGAGTAAATCAACATCAAGCCCGGTCCCAGCCGGGCAGGAAATAGTAGGGACACAATCAGACAAAGAGAGAAGAGAATCGCAACATGTCCAATGGGACACGGCAAGATAGTAACCAGACTATCGATTAACCAAGTCCAAATCCAAGCACACCATTCTAGTGAACAACGCCGTTTCAAGATATGTTCTTGGGTTTTTTTTTCCCTATGCAGTAATGCATCCAACGTTAAAGAAACCGGTGAAAAAGAGAGACGTAGGAGGAGAGAGTTTGAGAGAGTAAAAGAAAAGGAAAGACAAGTCAAGTCAAGTCAAGTCAGATCAAATCATGCAGAGATCACGAGGGAAAACCAAGACGCCTTGCTGCTATGCCAGTAAATGTGGACGGCTGAAAACATAATAGCAAAGTATCATAGCACACGGTGTCTGTAATCATCAGGAATTAGCATACGGTTCAGTATAGAATGAACAAGAACTTGGGGATACACACAGCTTCAACAAGTCCTCCAGACTGTCAGCACTGCAGCTACGGCCACGAGGAATGTTACGTAGGACATCGACGATAGTAGCAAAGACATCGCCGCCACGGTATGCCAGCAAAGCGGGAGCGGTGATGTGATCCATCTCCGCGATATCTTGATGCATCTTGACGAAGCGGACAGTTGGTTGTCGGCGGGCGATAGTAACAAGACATTCTTCGACGATAGCACTGTCATCAAACTATAAAACCAAACAAGTTAGCAATCCCAACCCGCAATTACATCTCAGAGGACCAATTCCCCACATACCTCGTGATCATAGATACAGACAACAACAACGGTATCAGGCGTCACTTTCTCAATAGCGTCAAGGTATCCCACCGCATCAACGGTCTCAACCGATCCATACTGTCTACCTCGCGGACTCGGACGACGACTATTCCGGCCCTGCAACTCCTGCATGCGCGACTGACGCCACTTCCGCATGAAGCGGGCTTCGTCATCGTCCTCGCTAGCGGAGGACTGGTCGCCGGGTGCGAGGGGTGCGTCATCACGAGTGGACTTTGAACTGAAGGAGGGGTTGTTGGAGTCTATCCCCGCGACGCTCAGGAGAGTGCGACGGAAGGACTTCTTTCTTGCGCGCTCGAAAGCCTGGGCGTCAGCAATGACGCCCTTGGGACCTGTGTTGGCTTCGTAGACAGTGTTTGGGATGTGGTAGTTTGCGGTGCGGGAGGAGACCATGTCTGCGTCGTCTTCCTCGTCGGAGGAGTCCAGTGTTTGGCGGGAGCGGAGGTGGGAGGAGGGTTCGTCGTCGGAGAAGTGGGGGTCTGAGTCGTCGTGATCTTCTGGGTGGG